ATACTGGTCGGTGGGAGGGTGGTCGTGAAAGAAAAATGGGCGTTGGCTCTATTTTTAGCTGTCCTGGAAATATTAAGACCCCTACCTTATGTCTATAATTTTGTACATGACATCTATAAATATAGATCAGGATTTCTTGTTTTTTTTTTGTTTTTTTTTTGTTTTGTTTTATCGCATTTGTTTTAATGTGTTTTTCTTCTTTCTTTTTAAGTAGTTCCGCACACTTCTATATATCTATATATACATCTGCGCGTGTGTAGGCAAACTTTTGCTCAACTTTTGAGTTTGAAGTTTTAAAACTATTTAAAATGTTGTGTTAGTAGGTTAGAGTCGTTGTTGTAAGTAAAATCATTTGATATCCACCCACTTTAACTTTACATCAACGCAAGAATACATTTCGAGAGTAGAATTGGTTGCGTGCAAATCTTTAATGAATCAGATTCATTGCATTTCGATAGTCTAAACAGTTACAATGCACAAGTTATTTACAGCGCAATTCTATAGTTAATCAAAATACATTTCTATAGTTCAATAATTTATCATGAATGTCTGTATTAAAATCATTTGCAATGCATGTCTATAGACAAATAATTGTTATGCATTCTATAATAATAAATATTTTAACATTTATTATACAAATTCAATTCCTAATAGTAAAATCATTGCCAATTCATTCCTAATAATAAAATCATTTCTACTGCATTCCTAATAATAAAATCATTTCCAATGCATTCCGAATAATAAAATCATTTCCAATGCATTCCTAATAGTAATATCATTTCCAATGAATTCCTAATTATAAAATCATTTCTAATACATTCCTAATAATAAAACCATTTGCCATGCATTTTAATTTTAAAACCATTTTATCGCATTTGTATTTAAAATCATTTTCATGCATTCCTTTAAAATCATTTCCAATTCATTCCTAATAGTAAAATCATTTCCAATGCATTCGTAATAGTAAAACCATTTGCTCAATTTTGATTTTAATAGTAAAACCATTTCCAATGTTGTCCTAATGATAAAATCATTTCCAATGTTCCTAATAATAAAAATCATTTCCAATGCATTCCTAATAGTAAAATCATTTCCAATTCATTCCTAATAATAAAAACCATTGCCAATGCATTCCTTTAATAAAATCATTTCCAATTCATTTCGATAGTAAAAACCATTGCCAATGCATTCCAATAATAAAATCATTTCCAATTCATTCCTAATAGTAAAATCAAAATCCAATTTCCTAATAGTAAAATCCTTTCCAATGCATTCCTAATATTAAAACCATTTCCAATGCATTCCTAATAGACAAATAATTAAATGCATTCCTAATAGAAAACCATTTTACTGCATTTATGATAGTAAAACCAATGCATTCCTGATAATAAAACCATTTCCAATGCATTCCTGATAATAAAACCATTTCCACTGCATTCCTGATAGTAAAACCATTTCCACTGCATTCTGATAATAAAACCATTTCCAATGCATTCCTGATAGTAAAAATTTCCACTTTCCTGATAGTAAAACCATTTCCGATGCATTCTTGATAGTAAAACCATTTCCAATGCATTCCTGATAGTAAAACCATTTCCAATGCATTCCTGATAATAAAACCATTTCCAATGCATTCCTGATAGTAAAACCATTTCCACTGCATTCCTGATAGTAAAACCATTTCCGATGCATTCTTGATAGTAAAACCATTTCCAATGCATTCCTGATAGTAAAACCATTTCCACTGCATTCCTGATAGTAAAACCATTTCCACTGCATTCCTGATAGTAAAACCATTTCCAATGCATTCCTGATAGTAAAACCATTTCCAATGCATTCCTGATAGTAAAACCATTTCCACTGCATTCCTGATAGTAAAACCATTTCCAATGCATTCCTGATAGTAAAACCATTTCCAATGCATTCCTGATAGTAAAACCATTTCCAATGCATTCCTGATAGTAAAACCATTTCCACTGCATTCCTGATAGTAAAACCATTTCCGATGCATTCTTGATAGTAAAACCATTTCCGATGCATTCCTGATAGTAAAACCATTTCCAATGCATTCCTGATAGTAAAACACCGACATTCGCTCCGTATTCCATCGGTAATAAGTATGCTCCACTCGAACAACTTCTCTGTGGGACAGACATCCAAGTTGTTTCCCCGATCACATCAATCTTAACCTGTTCATGTCTAGAGTTAATCGTTATCGGTACAGCACAGTAACCCATTCGTTTTTAGTATAAAAATGTATTGCCTGTAATTTTTTTTATAAAAGTGTATTACTGGCATTTTTTACTATAAAATATTCTATTCTCATACTTTCCTGGTTTTCGTGTTTGTTTATGTGTTCACTATTTGTCCGTAGATGGGACCCTAACAGGTGCTACCACCCCGGGGGTCAGGGTGGACTTGTGAACAACAGCAATTAAGACGTTGGTCTTCAAAACCTCCAATCTCCCGATCAGAGGCCTTGCTTCTGGTTGTAGTCTCTGTGATACCCAGGATTATCTGAATAAAATAAAAAATAAAAAGAATTATTCTAGTTTATACTAGCAGTAGAGCCCGGCGTTGCCCGAGGATGTAACAGTAAGAGATAGATCAAGTATCGACCATCATAAAGACTGAAAAATAAAATTGACAAAGATTATTGTTTAACGTTGACGGACACGCAAGTCTTAATTAGTTTTTTTTTTTTACGAATTGGTCAAACCCAAACTCAAACAAAAACATTGTTTTCAATCGTTATGAGTCTACCAATTGAATAGAATTTTATTATAAACAATTGTGTCTGTCTATATTTCTGAAATGAGGTATTATGTACACTATTTACATTAGTCGGACTATTGTCCTCATCTTTGTCGCCATATTTGTCACAACGTTTCGGCCCTTGTACGCTCCGGCCTTCTTCAGGTGGTTGGAACTTCGAACTGAACCCTTTATTTCACTCACTGGGGTAGACTGTTCTAGTTCCACGTGCCATGTTTGATGGATGTCAGTTATCAGTTATCTCCTGCTAATTTTCCCTCTGAATGTTCTCCACTGCCTTAACCAGGAATTAAACTCACCTTCTTTGGGTCTGTCACTGGATCTAACCAACGCTTTTATTGTGCCATGTGTCCTTGAGGACATCTGAGTATGAACTTCTGAGTATTATAAACCTAATGTTTTCAGCATCATTTTTACCAGTGCTCATATTGCAATTTTTGCTGTTATCATTGCATGTCTTTACCAGAGTTCATATTGCAACTGTTTGTTATCATTGCTTTTCTCTGGCACTCCTTATTACTGGTTCCCATATTGTATTTATTTCTATGCTTGGTCGGCTCAGGAGATTTTTGTGGCCTAGCATATGTGCTGATTCCTTAAATTTACGAATTTTCCAATGGTGTTCCCTGTCTATGATCTCAACATGATCCCACAGGGGGCGGTGATCTCCCTTCTCTCTCCATATGTGGTCAGCCACGCCTGATTTTTCTACTTCCCCTCGTGTTACAGCTTTCTGGTGTTCTTGAAGCCTTACCTTGAGGGGGCGGCCTGTCTCTCCTTTATATTCCTTTCCGCAGCTGCACGGGATAGCGTACACACAGTCTTTAGTCATGTTCCCCTCTGTGGGAGGGGGGTCTCACTCGTGAGAGATACCTGCGAAGTGTTGTCACGCTTTTGAAGGTTGTCCTGATGTTATATGGACCGCAGATCCTTTGAAGTTTTGTTGAAATCGGTTGAAAAATGTAGGAAATCCGATCCCATATATAAACGAACACACACACACAAACAACCTGGGTTTTATAATAAGTATAACTCGATATGAGTTGTCCCCCTTTCATGCCTCTTAATCGTGTTTTATTGATTTCGTGCAAAAACAATTTTGTTTTACCAATTTTTGGCGCTGTCAGAACCACTGCAAGGTAATTTTACGTAGTCCAATATATAAACGAACAGACACACACACAACCTGGGTTTTATAATAAGTATGATTTTTATACTTTCGTCGTAATAATATTTATCTCTTTTTTTTTTCTTTATTGAAAATACCAGCAGCTTACTACGAACCGCTGCTTTGTGGAATCGACACCGAAGGGGATGCTTCCCCGATCACTGTAATCTTAACCTCTCTTGGGGTAAACCTTAACTATACAGCAGAATAACCCATTCGGTTTTAGTATAAAACTGTTTGTTGGACATTCTTTTTATAAAAATGCATTGCTAGTTTTTTGGTTTTTTTTTATAAAAGTATATTACTGGCATTTTTACTATAAATATATATTTCATACTCTCCCGATGTTTTTGTTTTTGTTTGTGTGTTTACTATTTGTCCTTAGATGGGACCCTAACAAGTGCTACCACCCCGGGGTCAGGGTGGACTTGTGAACAACAGCAATTAAAAGGTTGTTGCACGCTCCTGAAGACCTCAAATCTCCCGATCAAAAACCTTGCTGCCGGTTGTAGTCTATCGTCATACCCAGGACTAGGGTATTTTTTTTTATGGATGCTTCTTTTTCCATGTGTCATAGCCCTTCAGGACATTGGCGATCATGACTCTCCACAATTTCATCTCCTTTGTAGCCCTTAGAAAATGTCCTTTTGTTATCTCTCCTAATAGAGATCTATTCTATTTTATAATTTTATAATTTCGTTTTTTATGAATATTGTCTCTTTAATTCTTTATTGAAAATACCAGCAGCTTCTTCCTACGAACCGCTGCTTTGTGCATCCGACTCCCAAGAGGATGCTTCCACGATCACTACAGATAGGGTAACTATTCAAGTCTAGTGTCAACCGTTATCTTTCCCACATATCTCCATAAATTGTGCCTCGTATTTGTAAAATTATACCTCGAGTGGCTCTTGAGCCTTGTACAGGATAAACATTGTAAAAAAAAATGAAAACAAAATTGCGAAAATATATTATATGTATATTATTGATAAAATAATATATTCAAAATTTTATTTAATTCGTGCGCCGTGTCCCTTCAGGACGTAGGTGATCACGGC